TTTTTTTTTTTTTTTTTTTTTTTTTTTTGAAACGGCAATCATCCCCGCGTGACTTTATTGCAACGCGCGGGTTCATTCAAGGTTCAGGCTCGAGCGGTTCAATAACCCTTTTACCGTAACGCATGAATATTCAGCGGAAGCGCAATGGGCGTCCATCGTAAGTGCCAATTTCAACTTTGTGCCACGCACGTCTATGACTGAAATCCAGTTCCTCCGCTCTCTTGGCCAGACGTCGGCGCGAACACACCGAACCGGACCGGACTCTTTTCTCGGCCGGACGTACTGCGACGTGAAGGCTCATATTTCAGTCGGTCATCGTGAGGGGCACCAAATGTCGAACAGCGCTCACAGACACGACCGCGAAGGGATATCCGCGAGAGAAACGTTGCGCCGCAACTAATAAATCAGCACGCCAATTCTTGGCTTTCCTCCTACATACGATACGTTTTCCTGGGCTATAGAGTTCCGCGCGCGCGTGCACTTACGGTTAGAACAATACACGCTCCGCTTCAAAAGGGCGGTATTTATGGTCTTATGAGAAGAGATGGCGAAGAACACTCGCGCGTGTAGTTTAAATTATTTCCGGAAAATTATATTACGCGCTCTTATATATATATGTCGTCTCGTCTCTATCTCTTCTTCTCAAAACTTAAAAAGATATTTAAACACCCACACACAGACCATAGAGAGACGTCCATTAGACATACAATACGTCCGTAACTTCATGTGACATAAACATCTAATGGAAATTTGTTTACAGAGCGTTGTTCCGCGTGAAAGCTCATTGGAAAATAAATAAATTTTAAAAGAATATCTCGTTGGAAGTTTCAAAAATATGCGGCCAGCTCTTTTACGAAATATCACGTCAAATCGGCTAATTCGGGAAGATGTGTGAGAATGAAATTATATCTCACATTAGTCCTCTCTCTCTCTCTCTCTCTCTTTTATCTCACACGAGTCACCCGCTGAGTGTCATTTATCTTGCATGCGAATTTGCATTAGCCCGACATATATCATATCTTCGAATGTATAATTACGTTCGTGTGATTGTGTGCGCTCTCGAATATAAGAATAGTAGACGCACCACTTGAGACGATTCTCCACGTGCACGAATCTCTTCGGCGAAGAGTTTAATAATAAATCGCGCGATCGATCAATGAGAAATTAATATATTCGAAAACGTAGTAGGTCCCGAATGTGTGTGCGACGATGTGAATTTCTTATATTTAAGAGTGAGGGTGCGGAAGCACCCTTTAAACACAATTTAAACACACACTTGCAAGTTTCACATTGAAAAGTTGCACTTAACACGGACATTATGAGAGATGAGATTTTTTTGCCGCGAGATTTTCTCTGCGCGCGACATTTATTATTGCCGATGTAATTCGTCGTCTCTCGAATCAGCGACGAAGAGACAGATATCGGATTACGAATTACGGACACTCCGAGCTGGGTAGTCGCTAACTATGCATCGCGGTGTATAAGAGATGACGACAATCGTTGCAAACAACGTATAAAGTAATTAAGACAAGAATAATGAAATAACAGAAGCGATATGGCGATGCATATCTTCTGTCGTCCTCTTCGCTTTTCTCCTCAAGTTGGCGGTGGGGAGGGTGAACTAGGACACGTGCAAATAAATACGTAATTCTCTGATATTCATAGACGATCGACCGGTATCCTGAAATTAGCCTCATCATTGCCGATGGGACGGCGAAAAGAGGGACGGGGAACAACGGGAAGACGAAGAGAAAAGATGGAAATCCATCGCGGCGACGGAGGGCTGCATCTTCTTCGCCGCTCTTGGGTCATTTCGGGTCGAAAGTTCAGGGCACGGCTTCCTATACATAGAAGCAAGCAACCAGGCTGCTGGTGCTACCGCTGATGCCGTTCCTCCTTCTCCTCCTCTTCCTTCTCTTCTCGTTCTCCCTATCTTTCTCTTTCTCTCTTCGCCTGGCTTCTCGCAGGCTGACAGGTGAAGCAGAGCACCTGAAATATTCATCGGACGCAGGGCTGAACGAGGCGCGACCGAACGTCAATCTGTCAACCTGCTTCCAGCTTGCTA